ACTCACTTTGGGCTTCAGCATCACCGGTTCACTGACAGGACCATATAACCCTCAAAGATGTGCCTCATCCTCCCAGTAGCAGCTGATGGAACAGGCCTCCCAGGGGCTGTGAAGCTTTAAGTCACCCAGCTTGTAAGAGGCTGGGAATTTGACTTCTTCAAGTCCAGAGTTGTTCTCCCACATCATCATCAGCAAAATGTCACAAGGACAGCTAACTACACAGGTACACATGTCCTGGATCCGTGGGGTGACAGCACCCAGCATGAGGGTGGTTTTATTCTGAGCTCCCAGTGCCAAGCCTCAACCCTGTGTCCCGTCCAGGATCTCCAATTTGTCTCATTTGCTCATATTTAATCACTCTTGAGCCTCAACATGTGCCATCTCATATCTCAATTGAAGTTAAGACTCAGAGAAGGTAAGCAGCATGCCCAAGGCCACACAGCTAAAGTGGCACATTCTTTCCACTCATCGGTGGCCCTCTGTGTCAGTGCCGTTCAAAGGGTACTCTGCTGAAGTGTCCCAGGCCGCTCTGGGAGGTCCTCAGTGTGTGGCCAGCACGTGTCCTCATATCACATTTGTTTCAACACCAGGACCACATATGGGCTTGGGGGACCCAGAGATGAATCAAGGGAGGCCCCTGCCTTTGAGGGACTCCCCGTCTGGAGAGGAAGCGAGACGGGAGAACAGCTGGTTACCATGATATATGAGCTTCCTGGGGCTACCCACAATAAACTGACACAAAGTGGGTGGCTCAAACAACAGAAATGTATTCTTTTACAGTTCTTAGCGCCAGACGTCTAAAATCAGGGTACTGAGTGGTTAGATCCTTCTGATGAAGCTCTGAAGGAGAAACTGCCCCAGGCCACTCTCCTGGCTTCTGGGGGTTGCAGGCAACACTTGGCATCCCTTGTCTTATAACGCATTGCCCCAATCCCTGTCTCCAATGTGTCTGCGCCTCCTCTGTGTCCTCTGTGTCACGGTCTTCTCTCTGTCTGTGCCTCTGTGTCCCTCTCTTCTAAGGACATTTAGTGGATTCAGGGCCCAGCCTAAATCCAGGATGGTCTCATCTGGAGACCTTCCATCACATCTGCAAAGACCCCTCTTCCCAAATAAGGTCACATGCACAGCGACCGGGGGTTAAGACTTGGATATATCTTTTGGGGTCACCATGTCTCTACGTAAAGAAGGAAGCTGGGCTGAAAGTATGGATGAACCTGTAGGAGCAAAGAGCCACCCAGAGAAGTTCCTCTGAGGAGAGCAAAAGATACATTCATTTGCTCATCCACTCATCCAAGGAAGTTTTCCTGAGCACCTGCAGTGTGCAGGGCTAGGCTTCAAGAACACAATGGATCTATTACAGACCAGACTCCACCCTCCTGCTACTTACACACTAGTTGGGGGGATGGGGGTACAGAAAAAAAGCAAACGAGTTAATAAAAATAATCACTCATGGTGAAAAGTGCTGTAGAATAAACAAAAAAGGATTGAAGGAGTAACTATGGTCGACACTTCGACACTTGAACAACACAAGTTTGAACTGCACGGGTCCACTTAGATTTTCTTGTAAACTGGTTAGGTAAACTTACAGTATCCATAAATACAGTACAACACTGTAGATGTGTTTTCTTTTTCCTTATGATGGTCTTAACAACATTGTTCTCTAATTTATATTGTAAGAATACTGTATATAATACAGTCAATATACAACATCAGTTCTAATCAACAATTTTTTGCTCTCCTAAGGCTTCCAGTTATCTCTAGTCTATCAGTAGTAAACTCTGGGAGGAGTCATAGTTACACGTAGATTTCTGGCACCCCAATGCCTGCTTTGTTCAAGAGTCAACTGTATACAGTCTGAGGAGGGCCAGGGAAACCTGGAAAGCCCACAGTTAGTTACACTGAAGCTGAGCTAAGCTTCATATAGAAAATGAGCTGAGGATTGCCTTTCCACTGAATGATGTGGAGCCACTGGATATCCACATGCAAAACAAAAATTATCTCAAAATGGATCACCCACTTAAGTGTAAAATGCAAAAACAGAAATGTGCTAAACAACATAAAAATCAAATGGCCTTAGGTTTGGCAATGACTTTCTAGATAGTACACTAAAAACACAAACATGAAAGAAAAAAATGATAAAATGGGCTTCATTAAAATGAAAACTTCTGTTTTGCAAAGGCACTGCTAGATTCAAAAGACAAGCTACAGACTGGGAGAAAATCTTCGCACAATGCCTATCTGATAAAGGACTGTGTCCAAAGTACACCAAAGATTCTTAAAATTCAGTAAGAAAGCAAACATTCCAGTCGAAAATTAGGCCAAAGATCTGAACAAACAACTTACCAAAAGAAATATATAGAAGGCAAATAAGCGTAAGGAAAGATGCTCCACATCAGACATCATCAGGGAAATGCAAATTAAAACCATAATGAGATACCACCACATGCAATTACAACGGCTAAGATACAAACACAAAACAAAACAAAAAACCTGACAACACCAAATGCTGACAAAGTAATGGGAACTCTCATGTGGATTGGGATGCAAAATGGTGCAGTTACTTTAGAAGACCATTTAACAGACTCTCATACACCTAAACATAATCTTATGATCCAATAATTGCATTCCTAGATATTTATCCAATTAATTTGAAAAACTATGTTGCTCCAACCTGGAAGCAACCAAGAGGTCTATTCTTCAGTAGGTGAATGGATAAATTGTGTGATGTATGCAGACCATGGGCTATTACTCAGCAGTGAAAAGTGAACTATCAAGTCACACAGAAAGACACGGAGGAATTTTAAATGTTACTAAGTGAAAGAAGCCAGTCTGGAAAAAGCTACACACTATATGATTCCAACTATATGACGCTGTGGAAAAGGCAAAACTATGGAAACTAATCTGGGGTTCACAGAGAGGGAGGACACTTTTAGGGCAGTGAAACTATTCCACATGATACTAGAATGGTAGATACATGACACTGTATGTTTGTCAAAGCCCATAAAATGTACACCAAGAGTGAACTGTAAAGTAAACTGTGGGCTTTAGTTAATAACAATGTGTGGATATTGGTCTATTGATTATAACAAATGTGTCACATCAATGCAAGTTGTTAAGAATTCGGAAACTGCTAGAGGGAGGGGCATGTGGGAACTACACTTTCTTCTCATATTTTCTGTAAGCCTAATACTGCTCTAAAAAAAAATTAAGCTCATTAAGGGGAAAAAAAAAAAAGATGAACCAGAGCCAAGCAAGTGGAAAGCGAGAGGAAGGAACATCTGGTGGAGGACACAGTAAGTACAAAGGCCTGGAGGGCAAACTGGGCCTGGCCTGTTGCTGGACCTGTGAGGAAACTGAGAGTAGGAAGGCAAAGAGCTGAACAAGGTGCCATTTGAGCAGAGGCCAGCAAGTACCTGAGAATCATACATTTTAGAGGAATAAATTTAATTTTCTCAAACTTTCTCCCATTGTCAGTGGGGACACTAAGACCCAGGAAAAGGCAATGCGGAAAGAACACACATGGCTGGTGGAAGGAGACTTGTAGAGTTCACAGGATTCATCAGCACTTCTAGAAAAAAGAAAAGAGTCCATGTGACCCTCTCAACATCCTTTGGGGCAAGGTATAATTATTATCTGCATTTCAGGGATGGAGGAGCAAGTCCAGAGAGGCAAAGTCATTCGCTCCACATCACATAGCCAGCCAGGGACAGCGGTGGGCTTCCTCTCCAAGTGCCCCAGGAACACTTTGAGCTCAGAACTGCAGAAGGGATCCCTGGCCCCATTGCCTGAGGCAGGTCTGAGTCCCACTTCCTGGCAAGTAGGGTTGATCAAGTGTTTGCAGACTCCACACTTAAGGTTCCTTACAGAGACTATCATGTATTGTGGACCCCCAAAGGGGCTCCATGGTGCCTGTGTGGTGCAGAGCAAACTCCCCTGCAGCAGCCCTGGGCTGAGGGTCCAACTGTGATCAGTGGCAAAGGCCTCCCGGTGCCAGTAAAGGCTTTCAGGTCAGGATCTGCCATCTGGTCACAAGACTAACAGCTGGCTGTGGTTGCCCCCAGGCCTGGGATGACAGCCCCCTGCCATCAGAACTGTGGTGTGGGGTACACAGGTGCTGTGTTCAAGATGGGGGGCGGGGGGGAGGATGTGGATCCCTGTGACCTCCCTAATGCTGGTCTGTGCTGGAGGAGAGATTGCCATCACTGCCTGAGTCTCTTTGCTTATCAAGTCAGTAAAGGCACCAGGCCTCCCAGTCCACTGCCCATCCTGGCGAGACCTGGGCCTCAGCTTCCCTGCTCTGAAGAGAGTCCTCGAGGAGAGTCTCAAAGACTGAGCATGTCCCCCATCACCCAAGGTTTTTCACAGGGTGATGGACTTAGCAGGAAGTCAGCCAGGGGGGTGCTCACAGAAAAGGAGAAGCCAAGCCTCTCCATGCCTCTCCCCCACCCCCGTGAGTCCTGAGGACTCCTCTCTCCCCACCCATCAGGATTCTGGGGGATCTCTGAGGCTGCAGGGTCCCTTCTCCCCAGCCACCAGACACCCCCGGAGGCCACGGGGACTGCCGTTGGGCTCAGAGTCCCTGGTCCCGGATGCCGCCCCCGCTCCAGGTCCGCTCAGTTCCAGCGCAGGCGGGAGCCCTCGGGGCGCCCCGGGGCGCCCGGGGGATCCCTGGGCGTCACGCTGTTGTTGTGGAGCGCGTGTTGACGCCGTCGCCGCGGAGACCGGCGGGGGCGGGCCCAGCTGGGGGCGCGGCCAGGCGGCGCGCGAGGGGCCGGGCGCGCGGCGCGGGGTCCTGGCGGCCGCAGAGGCCGGGGCCGCCGCCGCCCGCCGGCTTATATACCGCGGCTAAATTTAGGCTGCGCCCGGAGCTCGTCCCCATCCGGGACGCGTTTCCGCCGCCGCCGCCTTGGGCCGGCCCCCCGCGCGCGCCGCGCCTATAAGGCTGGAGCGGGCCGGGCCTCCGCCCGCAGAGTCTTCCCCGCCCGCCCGCGCCCCGGCAGCCCCGCTCCGGGCAGCCGCTCGCCGGTGTCGCGTCCGCGTCGGTCCCGGGTGCCGTCATGGCGTTGAGCGAGCCCATCCTGCCGTCCTTCTCCACGTTCGCCAGTCCGTGCCGCGAGCGCGGCCTGCAGGAGGTGAGGGCGGCAGGGCGGCGGGCGGCGGGGCGGCCGGCCGCGGGCGGCGGGCTTCGGGGTAGCGGCGCCGGGCGGCGGGCGCGCCCCGGGCCCCCCGCGCTCACGCCCGCGCCCTCTCGCCCTGTCCCCCGCAGCGCTGGCCGCGCGCAGAGCCCGAGGCGGCCGGCACCGACGACGACCTCAACAGCGTGCTGGACTTCATCCTGTCCATGGGGCTGGACGGCCTGGGCGCCGAGGCCGCCCCCGAGCCGCCGCCGCCCGCGCCGCCCGCGTTCTACTACCCGGAGCCCGGCGCCCCGCCCCCGTACGGCGCCCCCGCGGGCGGCCTGGTGTCCGAGCTGCTGCGGCCGGAGCTGGACGCGCCCCCGGGCCCCGCGCTGCACGGCCGCTTCCTGCTCGCGCCCCCGGGCCGCCTGGTTAAAGCCGAGCCCCCCGAGGCGGACGGCGGCGGCGGCTACGGCTGTGCGCCCGGCCTGCCCCGCGCGCCGCGGGTCTCAAACGTGAGGGCGCCCCGGGCCCGGCGGCCGCGTGCATGCGAGGCCCGGGGGCCGACCCCCGCCGCCGCCCGACACGCCTCCGCTCAGCCCCGACGGCCCCGCGCGCCTGAGCGCGCCCGGCCCGCGCGCCCCCTTCCCGCCGCCCTTCGGCAGCCCGAGCTTCGGCGCGCCCGGGCCCGGCCTGCACTACGCGCCCCCCGCGCCCTCCGCCTTCGGGCTCTTCGACGACGCGGCGGCCGCAGCCGCCGCAGCAGCTCTGGGGTTGGCGCCGCCCGCCGCCCGAGGTCTCCTCACGCCGCCCTCGTCCCCGCTGGAGCTGCTGGAGGCCAAGCCCAAGCGCGGCCGCCGCACCTGGCCAAGAAAGCGCACGGCCACGCACACCTGCAGCTACGCGGGCTGCGGGAAGACCTACACCAAGAGCTCGCACCTCAAGGCGCACCTACGCACGCACACAGGTGAGCGGCAAGCGCAGGCCCGGGGCGGCGGACCGGCGGGAGGATGGGGGACTTTGGAGCCCCCCCGGGGGGTGTGGCTCAGGAGGTTGGGGTAGGGGCGCCCTCTTTAGAAAGCCCCAAGGGGACGTGAGTCAGAAGTTTTGGGGAGCAGGAGCACGCTAGGAACTTTAGAGGCACTCCATCTCAGAATGTTGGGGGCGCTCTCTGGGTGTGTGGTTCAAAACAGTGGGGTGTGGACAGTCAGGATCCAAGGGCACTCACTGGTTAAGGGCAGGTTGCACGCGCTGGAGTAGCTAGTACGCGCTGGAGTAGCTAGTACGGGGGTGAATGTCTTTGTGTAGTGGGGCCACGGGAGTGCAGCCCGCTTCTGGGAGGGAAAACGAAGTTCGCTCTCGCCCCCTCCTGCAGGCGAGAAGCCTTATCACTGCAATTGGGACGGCTGTGGCTGGAAGTTCGCCCGCTCCGACGAACTCACGCGCCACTACCGCAAGCACACGGGCCACCGGCCCTTCCAGTGCCACCTGTGCGACCGTGCCTTCTCCCGCTCCGACCACCTGGCACTGCACATGAAGCGGCACATGTAGCCTGGATGACCTCTGCCTACCCGTGCACGGCCGTGGCGGGTCCCATGAGCCGGGCGCGGCCCCCTCCCAAACTGACTGGTATTTATTGGGCCCAGAGGACCGGGCCGGGCATAGCGTGGCACCGATGGGGCTCCCCCAACAACCATCCCGCCACCACCCCCGGACCCCATCAGAGACTGAAAGGCCCGGTGGAAGAAGACCACCGTCCTCCTTGACGAGTTTTGTTTTCAAAATGGTGCAATAATTAAGTGTCGTCTTCCCCTCCACCGGGTCTACACTAGAGGATCGAGGCTTGATGCCTTGTGAGAAATACAGCCTTAATTTGTACTGTCTGCGACATTTTTTTATAATATTGTACATAATGACTGTGACAGATATTGTTATTACTGTAAATAAGGAGACAGGCGGGCATTTGGGCTTCCTGGTTCATTTTTATAAGAATTTTGCTGTTTTTTTAATTAAAAAAAAGTTTTGCATCTTTTGAAAAATCACAGCGCTGGTCTGGCTGCTTGGAAGCTGGGATTTGGGGCCTTGGGAGGGTCTGGGTGGGGGAGAACTGTAGCTTTGAAGGAGGGTACCCTAGCACTAGCTGTGAAGTGGGGTTGCCAGCTGCAGTGCCCAGCTGCCAGGAACCTGTGGGTTTCTCTATAAATTTAAACACTGCCTTTTAGGACTGAGGAAGAGTTATTTTAAGGTTCTGTGAACCATAAATTACCTCCTTTTCTCTAGAGCTGGGGAAAGTGTTGGTCCCATTGACGTGGCCTCCTCTGTCCTGAATGAAAAAAAGGCTTACGTCCTTTTGGAAGCTTCTGAGGTTTTAGCCAAACTTTTGAACTTCTAACGTTGCTGGCTTTCTCCCCTCCCCCCCCACCCCTTTTATTTTTCCTTTTCCTTTTTCTTCTTGGAAGGGGCAAAATGCTAAGTTCTGACACTCATTTGCCTTTTATGAGTCTTGTTAAGCAGGACATTCTTTTTATGGGTGAGCTCCCCATCCTGTCAGGAATAGTGAAATTCACATTCAAGAGACATGCGTGGTGGGTGTTCTTTTTCAGATGAGGAAACCGTGGCCCAGAGAAAACAGTACAGAGTGGTGCCGTTAGGGTACAAGGTTGATCTGCTGGCCTTCAGGGGACCCCAGACCTCACTAGAGGGGATGGATGCAGGGAGCCACCTATTGCTTAGGTGAAGTGAGGTAGCCCTCCCCTGCAGGTGTCCTTATGAGAAGGAACCATCAAAGCCCCTGCCTAGGTGGATGGAGGTGGCTACTCCAGATTGCGGAGACCCCCACACTGTACCCCCAATGTCTTGGTAGAGGGAGGAGGCACCTCTCCCTAGTGGGTTCCCCTCATCTTCCCCCTTCTTGGGGCCCTGAGTGAGTAAGTTAACCATGGCCACAACAATTGCACAAGTTGTTTCCAGAAAGTGAAAATAGCCTGTAAGCAGTGCCTGTTTTAAAACACTCTCGCCCTTGTTGCAACAGAGGCTGGGATTTCCTCCCTTCATCCTTCCTCCTCCCCCGACTGCAACCCTGGAAACAGCTGAGAGAGTTTGGTAATCCACAAAAAGCAGAAATAGGAGATGACAATCTGATTCATGTTTCTCGAGTAAATAGCCTGGGCCCACTTCCGCTGGTGAGGAAGGGTGTTTGTGTATGAGTGCGCGGCTCCTCTACCCTCTTTCTGCAGCTTTTGCAAAAACTTTCAGAACAGAGCACTGGCCCCCTAGGCCGGTGAAAATGTCCCCTCTTTGCTCAGTGCTGATTTCTGAAGTTCTGGGCAGGAAATAGTCACAAGAGATTTATGATAACTGTTGGGTCTCCAGGTTTTCCTATTGAGTTGAAACGTTTAAACTTGCAGGGAAAGCCGGTTTTTTCTGCTTACTTGAGACACCTAGACTTCCCCCAAGTCCAGCCAGAGGCCAGATGGAACAGAAACGAAGCTGTTGAGTTTCTGTTTCCTGAGCACGTCTGACTGATAGCATAGAAAGTGTTGCGCTAGGATGCGTAGCTATATGTGTCAGCAAGCGATGTGGAGCCAGGCAGAGAGCTGGCTTGCGCTGATTAGTCAGAAATAGCCCCCTCATTTTTTGCCCCTTTCTGAAGTCCAAATGTTAACTTCTATCAACTAGCTTGTTGACGTGTGGTTCTCAGCCAGGGGCGATCGATGTGGACACATTTTGGTTGTCACAACTGGAGGTGCTGCTATTTTTAGTGGGCGGGAGCCAGGGATGCTGCCGAACATTCTAGAAAACACTGGGCAGCCCCCACCGCAGAGTAACGCTCCAGACCCAAATGTCAGCAGTGCAGATGGTGAAAAACCTTCTCTGGTTCCTGAAAGATCATGATTCGTTGCTTTTATTAGTAAGGTGGCCCTGTCCCGGAAAGTAAGCTTCGCTAGCTGATGCCACCCAAGAGAAATTCCCACTGCCGACCACCTCAGCTCCCTGAGCCTTCACACTTTTCCATGAATGAAGTCCTGGGATCCATGTGAGAACATGTTAAGATCAAAAAAGAAAAAAACTCACCCTGTGTGTCTACAATCCAATTCCAGAGTTTTTGAAGGGAGGGATTTCTGGGCAGTGGTTGAATTGCCTTTACATGACAGATTATCAATGCATCTTTTTGTTTGTTTTGTTTTTTTCCAGGGCAGGTTATAAGCACTTTTCCATATTTTTTCCACTCTGTTTTTGTTTTCTTCTTAAGTGGCTGTGTGATATTCCACTTAGCCATGCCAGGGAATGCTTGTACAAGCACTGAACATAGATATGTACTTTTTGGGGGGGGGCGGTGGGGAGTCATATTTCAACTGCAACCTCTCCCCTAGGTAAAAGAACTAGAAGCAATCAAGGTTTGGGGGTGGCTTTTTCTATCAGGAGTTGTCCATTGGGGAGCCTCAGGTACCCAGTAGGTGGAAAAAAGGTGTGGTGCGCAGGAGGGAGGTGGAGAGGTGAGTCCCAGCACACCCCTGACTCAGCACTCTGCCCCATCAGCAAAGCTGAGTTAGTAGGAGGCTCGGCAGCACCCCAAGGAAACAGGCCAGAAGGGGGCTCATGAAGGCACCGCTGTCCTTGACCCATGCTGAGTGGGTGTGTGGGAAGATGGGGTTCTCAACCCACACTGTGGATAAGGGCTCTGGGGCAGGGCAACACCCTTACTTCCACCCAATCGATGCTGACTTGACGACCAACAGTATATATCCCCCCAAGTTGTGACAACCCAAACTATCCCCAGACATTGCCAAGTGTCCCCTGGGGACAAAATCACCCCAGATTGAGGACCACCAGCTTAGGAGTTCTGTGAACCCTAAGAGACTTTGATGCTATAGTAATCTGAGTACTGAGGTTCTGGGGTGCTACACATATTTAAATGCACACACATGGGGAGACTAGTGAGGCTCTGGGGGGGGGTCACCCTGGTTTGTACCATTTGACTCGGTGGGAACGTATTCTGCTGTGTACTGTGAACTGGTGACTTAAATCTTTTTTTCCAAACAATTAACACAGAGTTTCACCCTCAGCACTGCTGACAGCTGGGGCTGAGTCATTCTTTACTAGAGGGCTGTCCTGGGTACTGCGCGGTGCTGAGCAACCTCCCTGGCCTCCATCCACCAGATGCCAGGAGCACCCCAGCCTCACAGTGGTGACAACCAAATGTTTGCAGACAAGGCCCCAGGGTGGGAGAAGGACAAATTGCAAACATTAGGCAAAACCATTCCTTAACATGGAAGCCCTCAGGTCCGCTTCCAGGCCTTAGTTTCCTTAGCTGGAGAGTGAGGACACTATGTGGAAAGAACTCTTATGTGTCTGAGGGGCACAACAGCCAGCATGAGGGGTGTGGTCATGCAGTGCATTCCCCCATGGAGGTCGGGGGGCTTGAATTTTAAGTCTTGCCCCCACCCACATGCCTTTCACTCTGTGTCTAACTCTCTATCTCTGTCTCTCTTTCTCTGGGTCTCTAAGGGTCTCTCTCTTGCCCGGTCTCTAGGTCTGTCATGATCTCAGCCTCTCTCCCTCACGCCCTCCCATTCATTCATCAACAGATGTTCCTGATGCCTCAACCATGAGCTGAGTTCTAGGGAAACAGAAATGACTCATAAGTGACTCAACCCCAAGCCAACAGTGTTTGTTGAGTGACTAATCCAGTGCAGCTTGAATTGAGCTAGGGACTAGGGCAGGTGCTATCACCTCAGGGCACTTTGCACTAATTCTTTCTTCCAACCCACCCAATCAACTGTGGGGTTGAGGTGGGAAGGGAGTGCTCATCCCCATTTTCCAGAAGGAAAAAAATGGAGCTCAGAGATAGGGCAATTCACCCAGCCTCTACTGGTATAGGTGGTAAACCCAGGCTCAAGTCTGGGTCAGACACTCCTGGTGTCAGCTCCCCCCGGTACAGGCAAACATCTCCACACCAGACCCATCGAGCTCACCCTGTTTTTCTCTACACACACCATCTGGGGGTTCCTGAGAGCCCCAATGAGTCCTCCAAAGTGTCAGTCTGAATTTGCCATATTCTAGGAAAACCGTGGACCAGACATGGAGAAATGGAGTTAGGAAACGTGTCAGGGGGGCCTGGCTGGGTGAACAGCATTCCCTAGGGTGCTCCCTACTTAAGAAGGGGACAGTTTCCAAAAAACCTAAATGGACTTATGTGATTCAGCAATTCCCCTTCTAGGGGTGGACCCCCAAAGAATTAAAAAATAGGGACTCAGACAGATGTACCCAAGGTTCATTGCAGCAGGATTCAAATGGCCCAAATGTAAAATCACCCAAGAGCCCACTGACAGGTGAACGGATGAACAGCAGCCCAGAGCAGCCAACCACTAAAAGGAGTGAGGCCCGATTCCTGCTAGCACATGGAAGAACCTCAAGAGGGAGCCGAGCGCAAGGGCAGGGCCGCAAGGGCCGTGTGCTGTGCCATCCCACCCCTCGAGGTTCCACCTACAGAGGCGCCACCGGGTTCAGTGTCAAATGGGGAAACTGAGACCCTGTTGCAGGCCGAGCCATAGAGACAGGGAGTCAGAAGGTGGGAGCCAGGGTCTG